AAAAAAAAAAAAAAATAGATTTATAGTTTAACTTTACATATTTGTAGTTCTTACAGTATTATATTGGGAATATGTTATTATATCTCTTTTCAAAATAGTTCATATAGTAACAAGGAACCTCAATTCTCACTATTGTTAAATGAAATAAAATCTGCAGTGAAGAAGCGATGGTAAAGTAAAATCATCTCAGACTGTTACTTCCTTCTAGGCAGCTAATATTCTGCACACTGGCTGCTTTGGCTGAGGAAAGAAAACCTCTGGAATGTCTAGATGCCTTTGGAGCCACTGGTAAGTTAGGAGGCTTTTGTAGAACCCCATTATATTTATTAGATTTTTATGGTATTTTTTTCTTAGAAAATATATGTGGATATTGTAGTTAACCAAATGTTCTGATATAAAAAATTGAAGGTGAAATATTTTTTATTGTGAAAATTTCAAATATATGCTGAAAGAGCATGATAAATGAATCCCAATGTACCCGTCTCTCACTTGAAAAATAAGCAGCTTTACATTCAGTGTCCTTTTGTCTATATCTCTGTACCTCATACCCTAATCTACCCATACCTAGTAATTTGAAACAAATCACATACACCTATATACCATTTCATCTGTGAATATTTCAGCTGGATCTCTAAAAGGTAAGGACTTAAAGAAGATAAAGCCACATTAACGTTAGCACACCTTAAAAAATTAAAAATTCTTTAATGTCAATTATTTAGATATGGCCATTTATCTCATAATATTTTTAAAATTTCAAATCAACACCTCTTGGAGGCAGGACCCAATTATAAGAGGGACTTTACCTAACAGATGCAATCAGTGTAACCTAATTCTTTGTGCCCTCATTGAATTGCAAACAATAAAAAAAGTAAAAATAAAATAAAATTTCAAATCAGAATCCATACAAAAATTCTGTTTCAATTGTTTGATAAGGCCCCAGTGTTTTCCTACGGATACCCTCTTTTTCATTTTTTAATCTGAAATGATTAAAGCTAACGTCTAAGGAAAAATACTCCCATCCTTAAAATGAGGATATTAGAATTTATCTTGTGGTGAAAATAAGGAAAATGTAGATGTGATGTCCATAACACACAGTAGATAATGATTTTTCCCGTCTATGAGACACTTGCATGGAAATGATGGTAGTACGTTCAGTACATAAAGGAGTTATCTAATCCATATTCGCTGGGTTTATGTCACCATCTCCCATTTTGTAATTAATGTCTTTAATGATTTAAATCCAGTAAGATTTGGTTTGAAGAATTTTATTATAAGAATGTAAGAAAACTAACAAAGAAAATAACAACTACCTACTATCCCACAGAATAAAAAAACTACTATGCCACAAAAAAAAATACGTATTTTATTTGAACAAAGACCATAAAAATAGTTTTTAAGAAGTATTAATGAAAATCTGTTAGACACATTTTTTCGGAAGCTTTGTAGTGAGAAAGTAAGATTGATAAAAATATTAAAATTATGAAAACTTTCTGTTCATATAATATTTTTTGTATTATGGTATTTTCATTGTTATGATTTAAAAATGTATTTTCTTCCTCATTTTTCCTAGGGATAATGGGATTACAGTGGGCAAAACATCTTGGAAATGCAGTCAAAGTTACAATCAATGACTTGAATGAAAACTCAGTGACATTGATTCAGGAAAACTGCCATTTAAACAAGTTAAAAGTGGTGGTGGACAGTAAAGAAAAGGAAAAGAATGATGATATTCTCAAAGAAGGAGAGGAAAACCTGGGTAACGTTAAGGTGACCAAGATGGATGCCAACGTGCTCATGCATCTGAGATCTTTTGATTTCATGTAAGTGGAAAGGATTTTTATGTCACTTTTTTTGTTATTTGTTTTGTTTTCTGTTTTTGAGGCAGGGTTTCATTCTGTTACCCAGGCTGGAGCGCAGTAGTACGTTCATAGCTTACTGTAGTCTCGAACTCCTAGGCTTGAGTCCTCCTGCCTCAGTTTCCCGAGTAGCTGGGACTATAGGTAAAAGGCACCATGCCCAGCTAACTTTTTTATTTTTTGTATAGATAAGGTATCATGGTGTTGCCTCAGCTGGTCTTCAACACCTGACCTCAAGCAATCCGCCCACATCACCGTCCCAAAAGCACTGGGATTTAAGGCGTGAGCTACCACTTCCAGCCTGCTGTGTCACTTTCTAAACAGATCTGACATTTTCAGGTGTAGAGATAGTTAAAACTTAAGGCAGTTTCTTGTTCACTTATGTAAATTAATAAATATAGTTTTTTGACATAAGCCTATAGTATGAAATAAGGAAATTTTTCTAGCATTTGAAATAAAATGCCTGGGCATGACACTTTTCCTCTGAGCCTGATTTATTTTTATATGTCTTAAATATCATACTATCATTTTATTGCTTCAAATACAGAATTATCTATGTAAAATATGTTTACAACGTACTTTTGAATCCATGGAATTTTATCATTAGAAGTAATGATAGAAAATCGTATTATCTTGTTTACTAATATGAATTTCCATGTCTGTATTCTTTCTGTTTTTAGACATTTAGACCCTTTTGGAACATCAGTGAACTATCTAGATTCTGCATTCAGAAATATAAGAAACCTTGGCATAGTGTCAGTGACTTCTACAGATATCAGTTCTTTATATGCCAAGGCACAACATGTTGCCCGGCGTCACTACGGGTGTAACATAGTTCGAACGGAATATTACAAGGAACTAGCAGCCAGAATTGTTGTAGCTGCAGTGGCAAGGTACCAAATTCTGCCTAATCTGTTTTAGCATGTGATTAAAAGAGATAATGTTACCAAGAACTGCTTGACTTATTTTTCAAAAGATGCATGAAATATAAATTCTGTGTTTGTGATCTTTTTTGTTTTTAATTTTATATTGTATCCGTTAAAATTTTTAAAAGCTTGTCCCTGGAATATTCTAGTTTACTTTCCGACTTAAAACAAAAAGAGCAAGTGAGAAAGAAAAAAGTGAAAGTAAATTTCAAATCAGTTTATTTCACCAATACAGGATAGATAAGGGATAGCAACATGAAAGGAAAAGCAAAAAGTGTTCTTGAATTTACAAACGATTTGTTTTGTATGCGTTCCATCTTTATTTATATACTTTGAATAAAATGATGGCTTATAAACTTGATTCTTCAAAATGATCTTATTTACAAAACATGAAGTTCTCTCTCATTTTCAAACAGAATTTAAAACCAGAATTATGAAAAAATGAAGACTTTGTTACACATCTATTACGTGCAGGATATGCTAAAATAATAACTTTATAACATAAGTGAATAGATAATAGATGATCAGCCAGCTCACTTACTAACCCTAACACTAGTTTCACAGTATTTCATTCCTACCTTGGCATAAATACAGATTATTAAACGTCCTAGACCTTAAGAGTTATTCCTAATTAACTGAAACTGCCAGGGACCTCCTGCACTTACCTAAAAATGTTTGTAACGTAACATCAACAAATTAAAATTATACATATGAACTAACTTTAGCGGACGACAGCAGAAGGAAAATGAAGTACATAAATGGTATATCTAGTAGAACTTAATTCAAAAGGTCTGACTATAAAATTAATGGTAGAAAGAACTTTGACTATTGATTTTTCACTGAATATTCGGCCACTTGCCTACTTTCCTGCATATAGTCACTACTCCGTAAGTATGTATTATTTGGAAGAAACTTTCATAGAAAAAGAATAGCTAAAAAGGAAGAAAGGTGGTGGCGATGACTAGAAACAAAGTGGCACTGAAAACCAGAGAGTGAAGTCCTAGAAAGAGGGTATCATAAGGGAAATGTCTAGAAACTGAAGACCCTGCCCAACAGCCTTTATTTCCTGTATTTCAATTTCTGTTAAAGTGATCGTAATGATCTTTTTATTTTATTTTATTTTATTTTTATTTATTT